AAAATGAAAAAAATTGGTGGAATATAGGCCTAATACTTCATAGTAATGGAAGACCTAGGAAAAAAGTTATTGGGGCCGTATAGAGTTCCAAAAAATGTGTGCAGAGTAAGATAATGATTACTATTATTATCATKATCATTTAACATTATCGTAAGACCTTTGAATTTAATTAATGGTATYAAATCAAGTTTGTACCTCTTCTTGCTCTTCCTCATCATAATCTTCTTCGTCAATCTCCTCTTCACTTTCAGGATCAGCTTTRCCTTCTGTGGCTTTACTCTCTTGAGTGGGTTTGCTACCAGACTCATTCTCATTTTCTTTTTCATCCTCTTTCTAAAAGAAAATTTAAAAATGTCACATCTGGAACTGTAAATTCTGATTAGATTCCTATCACTACAGAAAGGTCTATATTCGAATTCAAAGCGAATAACTGTTTTTTATTTGACAGCAGATTCTCTTACGCAAAGACCTTACAAAACACAAAAGATAGCACAAGAAAATGTTGTAATTTCAATAGCCCTAACAATTCACAATTTCCCAGAGTTCAGGCTCAACCTGTATTCCCAGAAGGCTTAAAACCTAAAACTTACCTCTAATGAATCAAAATCAATGTCAGGAGCTGAAGTATCAAGTTTTCTTTTACGACTGCTGTTTTTTGTGTTTGGTTTTACTAGAAAACAAACCAGAAGATTAAAATTATAACCAGTGCTTAAATATAAAGAAGATAGAGCTGCTTAATTTTCTTCCCAATTTTTTTGACTTAACACAGGAATCCCATAGAGAAGAGTCAGCCAAGGAGCCTACTTCAACAACAATAGTCTCCTTCACCGTTAACTGCAAGATCTTGAAAGGCAGCAGTGCCTTTACATCTAAGCAAGACAAACATTGAGCTTGCAAAGATAAATTAGATACCTGTAAATAATGTCTGTAGGTGTGAAAGAAGGCTTCTATCATTGCATGCTCAACCGTCGTCTCACTGCGATGCAAAGGCAAGGCTACCTTTCAAGATTCCACTTTTACTCCGACGAAGGATTAACGTCCGAAACGTCAGTAAGTTATTTCACATACTTTTTTTTACAGTGTCAAATTTATCTTTTTACACAACTGTTTTTTTAGAAATGCCGACGCAGCTCACACTAGTTTACCGCTAGTTCCCACCATTTTACCTTTCAAGATGGCGCCTGCAGGTAACCGTGAAGGAAACTAATTTATTGTCTCTTTCTACTGTCTCAACACCTCCCTGATCATTGATTTAAAAGAGCAATGCTTTATTACTGTTATTTTAGTTATTTCACTTCTTCTAACCTGCTTTGCCATGAGATTTGGATGTTTTTGTCTTGACTTTCAATTCAGCAGGAAAATGATTCCAATCTGTTTTCAAACAATTCACAAGAATCTATCATTACAAAGTCACCAAGAATGCAATATTCCTATAGCCTGTGTTACATCCGGAATTTCTGTCTAAAATTCCAGATGTAACACAGGCTATATTCCTATTGCCGTCACCACAAAAAAAAAAAAAAACAAAAAAAAACAGCATTCTATCATGATTCCTTGAAGCCAATTTTTGTGTGCCTGGCTCATAGGGAAAAACCAAAATCTGCAAGGAGACTAGAAACTACCTAGAGAATGCTATTATAGTACACTGCTTTCATAACCTGCTGGCAGTCAAACAAATTGCCAGAGTTTTTTTTTTAGTTTTTTTATGCATTAAAATGCATTTGCGTCATGCAGGATATAATTATACAATAACTGTATTTAGCTACAGCACCTGGAGTCCAACTGTTAGTAGAGTCAGTTTGCTGATTTTCCTTGAAACGATCAGAATATCTCTCAATATCTAGAAGATCATGATGGAATAGAATAATGAAAACTGTATAATCCCTTCATTAACAACACCACTGCATTCTATGCTGTGCTAAGATGGGTATAAGATAGTAAATTATAGTACAATGACATCAAAATATGGAGAATTTCAGTTAATAGATAGCATTTACACAAGAGGATTTTTGAGAAAGTACACAGGTAGCCCAAACGTACAAACTTCAAGTCTTGTTACCTTTCTTTGCTGCATCGGGCTTAATATAGTAAGGAGAAGTATTCATTATCATCCTGAACTCTTCTTTTAACACAAGCATATAGTCATCTTTTTCTGAGATTCGCAGCGGCAAAGGTCGTCTTTCTAGAGGCTACAAGTCAACGCAAAAACTTTTATGTATAAAAACTTCGATTCACCTCAGAAATCCAGGAATACTTACAGGAAAAAGAGGAGGAGGTTGAAGAATTGCAGCGGGCAAAGCATCTGAGCCCCTTCCAAATCCTATAGCACCTATATCGAATGTAAAACCACGACCTTTTCCCCCCCTTCCTCGACCACCACGACCCGCCATCTTKGATTTTATAAATTCCACAGGAAACCCAGATTGAAATTCTGTACGTACGCACTAAACAAAGCAAACAGGAAAACAGCCATCAGCAAAAAGATTCGGAAAACAATCGAACGAAAGAGTAAACCTAAAAACTGCGTTTTACAGCAGAGTGGCTCAAGGAAGTTTATTTTTTTGTTGTATTTTTTTTATGTTTGATTTTTTTAATGTTGTGGTTGGGATTCCTGTGTCCAGAAGAATTTCAAGATGGCAGACAGAGAGAAACCTACTGTTTTGGTRACAGGTAAATTTCTTTTCAAACTTTAGCTTTGGGATAAGAGATCAGCAGTACTTTGGGGATCAGGCATCGGGTCTATTTTTTGGTTTCAAGGATCCAAAATATTTTTTCAGAGATCTACGGGGATAGTAGATCAATAAATCAGGGTTCAAGGAACACGATTTTAAGATAGCTTTTTATATTCATATGATCTATTATGTGCTCATTATAAAGCTTACATCATTGCAACCCACCAAGAAATCATATACATGAGTTCTTATACATTTAAATCCTATTTGTTTAAAGATTATTCTGTCTTCGTAACAACGAAATTATTAGTATTTAACTACACAAACGATATCGTGGGCCTGACAGCTATCACGTGATCACTAGGTCAATAATTAATTATTATTTAAAGTAATTATACACCAAAGATTATTCTTTTTCACCAGGTTTTGGACCATTTGGTCCACACAARGTAAATTCAAGTATGGTGGCAGTTAAGGTGTGTGCAAATATAGCTTTCCAGCAAAAGAGACTCCTCAAAATATTATCAGTTTTGTGCTAGCAACTTGAATTATAGACTCCTCCCCAGCCGTTTTCCAGTGTCGTCTCTTAATCCTCCCCCAAGAGACAACACTGGAAACTGCTATATAATATATGACGAGTCTACTTATCACAATAAAAAAAGGGATATATAGACCTGTAATATAAAGCACAGGTTTGTGGTACTTTGCGAAGTCTGTAGTTTGTGAAACATGCACTGCTTGTGTAAAGTACTGCTATTGAAGCAGAATACGACTTATTTTTTTGTATATATTTGTAGGGACTTGTTGAATCGGATATAACTAATCTCATTGACTTAGTCACAGAGGAATTGCCCGTAATATATGAATATGTTCAAAATGAGGTGCCAAACTTGTGGAAAAAGCATAAACCCAAGGTAGAGTATTACATGCCATGTACAGTCTCTGCAGAATTCTTGCAGTAATACATCATTTCATTATACTTTATTGGCAATGGGTCTTACAATAATGCATATTATTATTAATTTTAGAAGTCTTTTTAATTGTCCTTCGCTTGATAATTTAAACCTTCTTATTTAAACAAACTTATGATCTGTAACTCTATTTTAACTTTCTTTATCTTAATTTTTACCTTTTTATTTGCGCTTAGAAAGTTATAAGTGCTTTATAAGCATCGATTATTAATATTATTATCATAATTATTGTTATTATTATCAAATACTTCATTTTTATTCTTTGCAGTTATGCATTCATGTTGGAGTGCATGGATTAACAGACAAAGTTTTACTTGAAACATGTGCACATAATGACGGATACCAATGCAAACCAGACATTAATTTCAAAGTAAACAGCACAGACCACTGTGTACAAGGTAAAAAATATTAACTTGCAACACTAACTTGCAATTATGATTGCTGTCACTGTTCACTAGTCTGCTATAAAGCTTGTAGGTGTTAATTATAATATTACAAAACCCTAGAAGGCAAGTTAGAGATGATTATAATACTTACCCTAGATTTTCCCTGGATTTTCCCCTTTTGTCAGAGCTCATATACTTTRTTAGGTACTAAATGTATGATTTTGAAACCTTTTCTTTAGGTGCCCCAGAATTACTACATACCCCAATTGATCTAAAAACTATACATAAAAAGGCAAAAGAAAAAGGAGTTCCTTGTGAAATAGCTTTATCAGATGATCCTGGGAGGTAATGCTTGCCTTGTAAACAAAATGATTAAAGTGCAAACCTTTGTTGACAAAACAAAGTGACCTCATCAGACATTATGTGGATAAACATAAACATAATATATCTCATTTATGTAATATATAAAATGTGAGCGGGAGACCTTTATAGGCATTTAAAACTGTGAGCTGCAAGCGAGCAGTTTTAGAGCCCATAAAGGTCGGACGCGAATATTTTATATTGCTTATCAAATTTCAACATAAGGTAAAGCATATTTCGAAAAAAAAAACTTTAGGATAAAATATCATTTGTAAGAGAAAAGTTAAAGTCGTATGCAAATCAGGACAAATCTCTTGCTCATATAAAGATGCGGTCACGGCAATGGTTTTCCATTGTGTTTACCTTAATGAATTTGATATAATTATTTATCATTGAAACTAACTCTGTAAAAGTTTGTGAATTTTTAATTTTTTTTTTCAATTTTTAAAAACCTTGTTTTGCAGATATTTATGTGATTTTACATACTTCACATCACTTCACCATGGTGACAGTCCCACTGTATTTATTCACCTACCACCAATCCAAGGACCATACACATGCGAAGAAATGGCAGAGACATTAAAAATAATAATCCTCTTAATTTTAGAACAGATTCAATTATTGTGATAATAACTACAATTTAATGCATCAAATACACCGACAGGGTTGGATCTATGGGAGGGGTTATAGGGGTTGCCCTAAAACAGTGCGAAAATGTGATTGTGACTATATTTTGGATGAATATTTGGAAACTAGGCCTATTTSAGAACATTAATTAAAACTGCTTCTCGTTTAGTGTTTAACAATAATAATATTTGTGAAAATGTTCAAGTATATATAATTTGCCCATGATATTGCCAAATCTCTACCAACTTAAAACCATAACCCCTTTTTSAAAAACTCCTTTATCCACCCTGAATGTGTCAGCTTTTKCTGCCTTTAACTCAACATAATTTAACAGCAAAATAGTTCACTGGCAATCTAGTATCACAACTTGTAYCATATCGTGGAAGTCAAATCTAAATCAGCTAGCAGACTTTTACATGTAGTTGTAAATATAAATAATTAATAAATTTTGAACGATTTTTTTTGAAACATCTAAAATATGAAATTATTTGTAGGTGGTTTTCTATCCATTTGGGAGACAAAATAACTGATTCTCGTTCCAAGGAGAGAACACCTTTTGTGTAATCCCTCGAACAGCTTCTCCTTGTCAGACTTCCTTGTGGCAGGGACAGGAAATCAGACAAAGTGAGGTGATGATTGAAGACTTCAAATTAAGCTACTGYGACATCACACTTACAAAGGGTCTACATTTTGAATCTAATACCMTTTCTAAACAAACAATTAGCTCTAGAAATCCTGTTAGAAATTCACTAAAATGTCAATAGTCAATAAAAGAGCTTTGAAATAAAACAGTTTATGTTACTCCTTTTTGATTCTTTGCTGTTGTTCATCTTTRCTGGTGATCAGCAATGCAATGTTCACAACTAGGAGAGCAATAGCAACAGAGGCAGGAATATAGGTAAATCTAGGGTTACCCAACTTGTACATCATCTGTATTACAGATCCTTGTAGCACTATACCCACTACACTTGCTAACAAACTGACTTCTTTGGGTCCAGTTAAAATAAACAGGCCTATGAATCCTTCRATGAAAGCAAATGTCCTCATGAACTGTGTTGGATTTACTTTTGTGTTGAAAAGCTGTGTTTGTGGACTCACTCTAGCAAACTTTTTGAATTCTTTTTTCTGTGGGATGAATTATTCAGAAATGAATWAAAAATTAGTAATTGAATGTATAAACTTCTTCTGGAAATTTTACAGAAACAGAAGATTGTCAATGGCCTTATTGCAGCTCCTTTGTGGTAATACTCCATGTACGAGAATCAGGGAATGTATGATTATCATGTTTCTTTGCATTTATCCCTAAAGCAAACATGTTGTGACGTCATTATGCGATAGGGTAATTGTAGTTATTGTTGTGCGTGTCTGCGATTTCTATACTACAGTCCATGCAAATTACTTAGTAATCATGTCGATGGGTCCCTAGCAGGTCTAARCGTGACAATTTAAGGTCGATGTTACCATGACCAACTTGCACTCAAATGGCTTTTGTATGTAAACTTCAAGAATTACTAAAACGCTCTCAGTTGCTCCTATATTTATATTACATGTAAACAGAGTCCCGAATAGATGACAGACTTATAAATTTAAGCAAMACTGGTCAACAATTTTACATGTAAAGAWGTTAAACATCAYGTACGAAATWTTGAATAATAATTACCATAAACTCGTGAGCTTTTGCATCAAATCGTGGGGTGAGTTTGACCATCGCCGACATACAGAAGATAATAACAAGAATACCAGTCACTARACGGCTGACGCTTCCCATAATAACAAGAAATTCACAAGGTATCTCAATGGAACTGATGATCAATTCGAACACAGCACGTGCGTGACTAGAAACTTGAAACTATCACGTGATATACCCTTGGTTTTGCTTTTAGCGCCAAAACTATRTGACGTAATAGAAACATCCTCGGAAACCCGGAGACGATAAACGACAAATTCTATTTATTATTTATTATATTTATTGTATTTATTGACAATTCTATTTCAGTGATTATCAAAATATATACATTTATACTAGCACAATCAAATGAAGAGAGCTAAATATTAGCCAACTTTTCAAATACCAGCTATAAACATAGATTTTTAAAAGTGCATTTTTTACAGTAACTTTTACAAAGGTAAATGACTTGTGTGCATTGAATAGGTGGTGTACGTATAAGTCAGACCTGGGTTGGATTGCATGTTGTGGTGTTTTTTTTACACAACCCTCCCCTCCCCCTTCGCATTGCAATGCGCTCTATTATCCATTTGAACCAATATAGTGATAGAGGCTGTGGTTATTTGTTTAATACTTGTAAAAAAATT